ATACAAATCAAAACCTCAATGAGATACCACCTCACACCAGTCAGAATGGCTAAAATTAAGAAGTCAGGAAATGACAGATGTTGGCGGGGATGCGGAGAAAGGGGAACCCTCCTACACTGTTGGTGGGAATGCAAGCTGGTGCAACCACTCTGGAAAACAGTCTGGAGGTTCCTCAAAAAGTGGAAAATAGAACTACCCTATGACCCAGCAATTGCACTACTGTGTATTTACCCCAAAGATGCGAATGTAGTGATCTAAAGGGGTACATGAACCCCACTGTTTATAGCAGCAATGTCCACAATACCCAAACTATGGAAAGAGCAAAGATATCCATCAACAGATGAATGGATAAACAAGGTGTGATATATATACATATATATATATGTATCTATATATACACACACAATGGAGTATTATGCAGCCATCAAAAAACCTGAAATCTTGCCATTTGCAACAATGTGGATGGAACTAGAGGGTATTATGCTAAGTGAAATAAGTCAATCAGAGAAAGAGAAGTATCATATGATCTCACTGATATGAGGAATTTGAGAAACAAGACAGAGGATCACAGGGGAAGGGAGGGAAAAATGAAACAAGATGAAATCAGAGGGAGACAAACCATAAGAGACTCTTAATCTTAGGAAACAAACTGAGGGTTGCTGGAGGGGAGGGGGGGTGGGAGGGAAGGGGGGGCTGGGTGATGGACATTGGGGAGGGTGTGTGCTATGGTGAGCATTGTGAATTGTGTAAGACTGATGAATCACAGACCTGTACCTCCGAAACAAATAATACATTATATGTTTAAAAAAAAAAAAAGATAGTAGGAAGGGAAAAATGAAGGGGGGCAAATCGGAGGGGGAGATGAACCATGAGAGACGATGGACTCTGAGAAACAAACTGAGGGTTTTAGAGGGGAGAGGGGTGGGGGGATGGGTTAGTCCGGTGACAGGTATTAAAGAGGGCACGTTCTGCATGGAGCACTGGGTGTTATACACAAACAATGAATCATGGAACAGCACACCAAAAACTAATGATGCAATGTATGGTGACTAACATAACATAATAAAATAAAATTAAAAAAATGAAACATATACTCAGTTTTTTATTTGATTTCAATTCCTCTGTGTAAAATAGCAGCCATTCTAAGTACTTTGAATAAATTTCAAATAGATTCTAACCATTAACTGTTAGAGTGTTTACTTCATGCAGCTCGGATAAGCACTGGATGTAATAAAAGTAAAATAAGACAACTCTTGCCCTCAAGAAGTTTACAGTCTATTGGGGTAGACAAAGCTGCCAATAAATAAGTACAGTATGATATGGTAAGTGTGATAATGGAGATGTGGGAACGAAAGCAGGATGACTGAAGATGAGGCTGGAAAAGTAGATTTGAATCTTAAATGCCATATAGAGAATTTAGATCTCATTATATAAGCATGAGGGTCACACTGAAGATTTGAAGTGAGGACGCACGAACCCATTTGTGTTTTGGAATATGGACTAAAGGAGGGAAAAATCAAGAGTCAGTGAGATCACCAGGAAGGTTTTGCAATCATGCAGGCTGGAATTCATTTCTGGTTAAACAATGATTAAATACTGACAAAGTGCCAAGACAGGGTCAGGCAGACAAAACCAAACATGTCAAAGTTTTGGTCCCCAAGAACACAGTTTGGAGGATAGGGGACACAAGTAATTAATTCAGCAGTAATGGTGAGGGTTAGAAATAGAATAGAGGCTAAAGAGATGAAGCACAAATTTGAAAGATGATTTCAGGCACAGAAAAATAAGGCTTAGTAACTCATCAGATTCAGGATATGAGGGCAAGATAGGAATCAAGGATGCTTCCTAGGTTTCTAGCTAAGGCTTGATGTTATTTACTTTAAGAGCAAATGTAAGAATGAGGAGTTGACACCACCTGCTACCCCACTCCTTCTAGAGACATCACAAATTAGTTAATAAGGTCTCCACAGGAAGTACATTATAAATCCAAAGTAGCATTCCTAGGATTATCATCTAGTGAGCATGGATTTGCAGAGAAAAAGGTTAACTCTGTCCGAATATTACAATATGAATACATAAGTTAATACTGTCAGAAAAAAACCACCTCCATGACAAAAATTTCCTGTAAATACTGTCAGTTAATAAACTATATGTGTTATCTTACTGCCTCTGACTAAAAACAGCAAAAGAAAAAATACCAGTAATACATCCCCACGTGTGATTTACTATCTGTTCTTAATTTACTGTTAACATACTATCTTGTATTTACTATCTGTTCTTAATTTTAGAAGATAATATGATATCCCAGTTACAGTTCAAATGTATGTAAAGCAGTGTTGTGCAAGATCAGGGACTTTTCTGGAGAGGGATGGAGCCTCAGGAAGTCTGGCAGCACAGATCTCAGGTAAGGTACTGTACCTGCCTGCACACCACTCAGTGACATTGGAGTAGAAATGTTTAGTCCCAGGACATTAAGCACACAGACTGATATTTTAATTAGACCAAGAGTGAAACCTCTTAAAAAACAGTTTTCAAGAAATTAATGATTTTATTTTATTTATTTATTTTTTTAAAGATTTTATTTATTTATTTGAGAGAGAGAGAATGAGAGATAGAGAGCACGAGAGGGAAGAGGGTCAGAGGGAGAAGCAGACTCCCTGCTGAGCAGGGAGCCCGATGTGGGACTCGATCCCGGGACTCCAGGATCATGACCTGAGCCGAAGGCAGTCGCTTAACCAACTGAGCCACCCAGGCGCCCAAGAAATTAATGATTTTACAGGGAAAGACATTCTTGAGAACCTAAGTAACTGTTTAACAAAAAAACAGAATATACCTTTAGTATCACTATTTCCACCCAAAATTTGTATCACACTTTGCAGGCTTTGAAAAGAATTTGGATAAAGTTATAGAATGATACATAAATTATTAAGGGGATTTTTAATGACAACCTTACCTTATAAGAATGATATAAAAATCAACCATTAGTTCTTCCATTGACTGCTACAGATTAATAAGATACTTGTCAGCTATGAGCCAAGGTGAGTAATTTTTTTGTTACAGATGCTTCAAATTCACTGTTGCTCAATACTTTTGTTGAAAACAAATTGGAACATAAAATTATGCTTTATAGCACTTAATTCAATCCATTAAGTCATTTAAACATTGGCCCTTGATTAATGATTTCCTCACACAGGTAAGCACATGGGAAAAGAAGACTCATATATTACTGATAGGCGTGTATACTAACACCTTTCAAAGGGAAAATCTGACATCTACCAAAATTTTAAACCTGTGTTACCTTTGACCTATCAATTCCTCAAGAAATATGCACCAAGAGGGGGAAGGACATGTATATAAAGTTGTTCACTAAGCCCACTACATGTTCATTAACAGAGGAATGGTTAAAGTATGGCACATTCATATTATGGAATACAACTGGCACAGTCCTTAAAAAGAATGAAGCAACAAATATACTGATATGGAAGGGTGTCTATAATAGATCATTGGGAGAAAGGAGGTTGTAGATCTTTGAGCTTACACAGAATGATCCCTTTTTATTTTTCAAAATCAAAACAATACAGATGTGTGTCACGGAGGAATATGTGAGAAAGAACACACAACGAACTTTTAAGAGTTGCTATTTTGGGAATGAACTGTATGGTGGAGGAACTTTCATTTAACTTAAATGCACTGGCTTCAAATATTTATTACGAAAAATTTTTATAATAACTAAAGATATTTAAAAGTTCTACAATGTTTTTGAAAGGAATTCTCAATTTTCTTTTTTATGAGTTAATCTGTGAGATAAATTCTTCAAAGATTTCATCTTTAAATGTTACACAGGTAGCCAGCCCTCTGGAACTTTGAGAATCTGGAAACCTTACTAGTATCTTACCATCAGGTAAGAGCCCCCAAATGAACTGCTTGGGGTGTGGGTATAACTATTTAAAGTCAGGAGCCTATCAAAGATTTCTTTGGTAGAGGTATTAAGATAATTAATTTCAGATGGGCACTGGGAAGAAATTGCACTTTATCTCTGTGCTGCTTAATAAAAACTCAAGACTAAATGTCAATTTAATCGTGAAAACAAAAACAAAGTAACCCAAAAATATCAAACAAGGACAGAAAACCTTTGAGCCACAAACCATGTCCAATAGAAAAAGACAACTTGTGGTGCTGAATTACACATCAAGACAAAAAAGAAGGGAGGCGGACGGGGATAGATGCACTAAAGGTAAAAGAATAGGGCGAGGAATCCTCAAGACAATCCCCTGGCAGCCTCCAAAGTTTGGTTTTTTTGATCTCCACAGTGGATCACAGGGCAACTTAAAAGAAAAGAAGAGCCAAAGTAGTTCCGATGATTTTCATAACCACCTTCAAATTTTCTCTGAAGCCAAGAATGCAAAACATCACTTCCTTTCCTCTTCAAGAACTCAGCCAGGGTCTACATACAATCCTGGAGATCGCCTGGGGCGATCAGAGAGGCTGTGAGAGGCACATTTTCCCTTCAGAGGCCGCTCCAGCCAGCAATTGAGCAAATCCGTAGAGTGGAGGGAAGTGACCAGTCTTCAACTGGAAATCCTCCCGAACACAAATAAAACATATCTCCCGAGGCCAACCGAGGCGGCGGCAGGGTACTGGAGAGGAGAGAGCTGCTAATCCCGGGGAGTTATAATCACACATGAGCGAACGTGACTTGACACACACCTACCCCGCAGCGAGCGCAAAGCTGGGAGCTCCAAACGGAAGACAAACGCTCAGGGAGCTTGCTTGGCTGCGGGGAAGGCCGTTCTATCCCATTTTCTCTTTCCTCCCCAGAGAGCCCCCACCAAGTAGCCGCCTCCTACCCCACCCCGCCGGTCTGGGCCCGCCCGTAGCCCCCTCGCGCCCAGGTGGCTTTAGAGGTGGCAGGCTCCTGGGGCTTGCCTGGCGGTCAGCTGCATTCCTCGTCGGAGAGAAAGGGAGACAAACCATTTACACTTCAGTGGCACCGTACTCACCCTCATAACTGACACCCCCGGCTTCGCTGTGGTTGCCCTCACAGTCCTCCTCCCCTCCGGCAGCAGCCCCCTGGGTCTCGCGAGCAGCCATTACGCGGCGGAGGAGAAAAGGGAGGGCAGGCAGGCGGGTCCGGAGCCAATGGAAACGCGACTGGAGGCAAACTCCCCATCAATGCGGGGTTTCCTCCACGTCCACGCCTCCCCATCACGTTCTGGGCCAATAGGACGTGGAGAGCGGAGCCTAATCCCCGCCCCTAGCCGCTAATGCCACGCCCCCTTCCGGGATGGCGAGGCCCAGAACTACAATTCCCAGCGTGCTGCAGGGACCCTGGGACAGGGAGGGCTGGAAGAGGCGCTGGCGGGCGGGGGTGCGCCGGAGAGTATCCTGGCGTGTAGCTTAGTTCAGTGAATCAGAACAATGACTGCGCCGCCGGGTCCCCGGGAGCGCGTCGGAGGACTGTGAGCAGCCGCCGCCGGGAGAGCGGCGGGCGGCGCAGCCTCAGCCGCGCGGTGTCAACCCCGGGCTCGGGAGCTTCCAGCGCAGACCTTGCCCAGCGTCCACAGCTCGCGCGGAGCCGCTGGGCTCCAGCGTTGCAGCCGCTATTCAGGAGCTGTGCATTGTTGTGAGCCGGAGAAGGTGCGGGGATTACAAAGCCCGAAGACCCCGGACCCCCTTTAGCCATGTGGATACCTACGGAACACGAGAAATACGGCGTGGGTGAGTCTCCGCGGGGCGAACTTTTATTCCTCTCTAGCCCGAGCGGGTGCGCATTTCGCGTCCTTGCTCCTGCGCCCCTCTCGCACCGCGGGGCTGGAAATGCCTAGTCCTGGCATCGCGCTGCGGGTTTGGGGCTTTGCCGAGTCTGCTCCCGGCAGAGGGGTGTGCGCCGGGGTCTCGCCCCTCGTCGCCCCTCGTCGCCCCTCGCCGCCCCTTCGGCGTTTCCCGCACCGGCTCCCCGAGCGCCTGGACGGCTGGGGGAGCGCTCGGCCAGCCCTCCCGCTGCGGGCTCTGCCTGCGGAGTTGGAGTGGCGACGGGGCGTGTGCGAGTCAAGTTGGAAGAGGAGGGCGAACGGCGTTCCTCAGCCTCCTTCCTCTTCTTCCCCAAAGAGGGCAATGGGCTGAACGATTCCCCAGGGTGGAGAGGGAGACAACAACTACTGCGCAGAGAGAAGACCCTCAAAACAGAAGGGAGGCGCAAAACCTTTTCTCCGGCTCCCTTCGGCATTCCCCGAGTGCGGAATGTGGCACCGTCCTCAAAAGAGCCGTGCTGACAGACCGAGCCCGACCCCAGCTTCCTTCCTCCTTCCTATCCCGGGTTCCTGGGGTGTGAGTGTTGAGGGGCTGAGGGATTGGTAAATTTCAACATCTGCGCCTCTTTGGTCTTTGGAGGGGAACGTGTATTTCAGCAATGTTTTTACTTCTGGCCACCCTCTCGGCCCGGGGTAAGCGCGTTGGGGGTGGGTGGAGGACAGCTGTGGAGTGATCATGGGGAGGGGGAAATCGGAAAACCTGGGTCTTCGAGGCGAGGAGACAGCTTTTAGGAAAGGATTACTCTGACACTGGCGTTCGGAGGAAAAGGAGCAGGGTAGCGCTCGCTGTTCTGTGCAAAGGTGAACAACAAAGGACATTAATGTTGACTGATGAATACAAGAGTCTCCCTTCTTTTCCCTCCTACCATTTCAGGCTGACTACAGTTCCCGTTTTTGTTGTTTGATTTCAGCTGGGTCTCTCCTTGACAGTTACTCCTTTTAGGGTTGTGGCTGTTAAGAAGCCAGGCTCTTCGACAAGCCTGCAGCAGCCAAATGCAATTATAACCTCTCAGAAGGTTTAAGAGGGTGAAAGCATTTTGGATTTTACTAACAATCTTTATTCCTCTAATGCCCCGTCCTGCTGATTGGTGTACTTTTTTTGTTGTTGTTGTTAATTGGGTACAGAGCTAGTGATTTAGACAATGTGTAGGTATCTGCTTACGTTCTAAATTAATTTTTCTGTAATTTAAAAAATCTGGAAAGCCTTTCCAGGGAATCGTAGTCATAGGGGATTTTTTTTTTTTTTTAACTTCCCATGGGGATAGTAGGACTTAGGAGTCCCCTGAAAGGACTGTATGATTAAACAAAGTCATTCCGATATTTTCATTAGCTTTCATTCTGATTGTGACCGTTTGGCGAGACAATAGTTTGTCCTAGACCCACCTTTGGGAAGGGGTTCCAGCCTTCCCTCTCTTTCAAGTGTGTGGGGGGGAACCTTTGCAAGACACTGTACTGGCAAAGTGTAGATGTTGGTGGTTATTATTTTCCTTCTGACCCCCTCCTTCCACCCCCTTTTTGTGTAGATTAACCCTTGCTAGGAAAAGATACTGCCTTTGCCGAAATGGTGAGGAACTGGAGCGTCCCCCTTGTCACTCACTGGGTTTAACACTCCGTGCAAGAAGCATGGATCCATCCAGCAACACTGTCCCGCTTGGAGTCGATCCCAGATGTTGCTTTCTTCCAAGTGTTAAATTATACAGATTATGGATGGGATTTATTTTCTTGATTTCTTTACATGCCAGGTCACAGCTGGGTGCTGGTATTGATTAGTTTTTCTCTCGCCTTTCTTTATAAGCCTTGGGCTGAGGCTTAAAACACACTCTGGGATTTCCTGGAATGGCAAACCCGATATTATGGGTCAAGTGTTTTGGGCTACAGCAGACACCTTGCTTTTGGGTGGTTGTGATTTGGTTGCAGAGTAGGGGGAGGTAGAAGGGTGACCACAGCGTTGGTAAAAGGAGGTTGAGATGAGAAGTGAGGGCAGAGAGGGGTCTGCTCATTTATACAATATCACACATACAGGAATGTTAATCATCTTGTTAATTTTTGAGCATTTGGCTTATGGAATGCTTAGCTGTTTTTAAGAATCCGTCCGTTAGGTGTGTGCATTTGTGTGTGTGTGTGTGTGTGTGTGTGTGTGTGTGTCTGTGGGGTGAAAATTTTGCTAGGATACTTAAGTGTGGACTTTATTTCTTACCCTGGAGAGCACTATTTGTAGCTGTATATGCTGCAAGTTTTTTTTTTTTTTAACCTTCGTTAGTACATGTGCTTTTCTCATCTAGTTCTTATAAATACTAAGGAAAAGATAATTTATGGGCAAAAATGGTTGTTATCGGGTGTAGTAGTAATTCAGTTCCTCATTCTTTGAAATAAATTAGTCTTTAACTTGGAATAACTGAAGTTTTAGTGCAAATTGTATATTTTTCCAGTGATACTTCTTAGCCACCATCAATTATATATGAGATAATTATGTGACTTTATATATTTATGTTTCTGTTTCAAACAACATATTGTTAATATGGATAAACTTACTTAAATTTCATAGCTGTAGTAAGATGTATCAGAGATAGAAATTCCTTTTCAAACCTGACATGTGGGCACTCTTCAACTGATGGATGGTCTTAAAACAATGTATACTTATATACCTAAGTGTACTGATTCTAGGGAGTTAGAAGGCATAGTGATAGCTTCTTTTCCGTCCTTCTTTCTTGCTGCTTGCTGTGCCGGCCCCGCGCTCCCGTGCGCCCCCTGTAGCCATGCCTCGCAAAATCGAGGAAATCAAGGACTTTTTGCTCACGGCCAGGAGAAAGGATGCCAAATCCGTCAAGATCAAGAAAAATAAGGATAATGTGAAGTTTAAAGTTCGGTGCAGCAGATACCTTTACACCTTGGTCATCACGGACAAGGAGAAGGCAGAGAAACTGAAGCAGTCCTTGCCCCCAGGTTTGGCAGTGAAGGAGCTGAAGTGAACCTGGCCCACTGATTTGAACTGTATTAAAGTTTTAAAAATTCTTAAAAAAAAAAAAAAAAAAGAAGGCATAGTGATAAAGCTATAGTCCTGAGGGATAGGGGACCTTGTCTCTTTAAAACTGTATTAATCGCGGGGCGCCTGGGGGACTCAGTCGTTAAGCCTCTGCCTTCCGGCTCAGGTCATGGTCCCAGGGTTCTGGGCTCTCTGCTTGGGCGGTAAGCCTGCTTCTCCCTCTCCCACTGGTTGTGTTCCCTTTCTTGCTGTGTCTCTCTCTGCCAAATAAATAAAATCTTGAAAAAAAACTTAAAAAACTGTATTAATAGCCACAATGATAGGCATATTTTTCTCGGGAAATTCTGGTTAGCTCTTGGTCCTAGGCTAGACACTGCTGCCAGCTGTGTGACCTTAGGTAAATCACTTAACCTTTCTGAGTGCCAGCCTTTTGGACAAATGGTATCCGAGGTCCTTCCCAGTATTAGTTCTTGAGACCTCTTCCAAACAAATGTGTCCTTTGGTTAGAAAAATATCTCCATGGTGTAGAGATTGTTAGAAAAAAGACACTTTTGTTGTGACATAGCCCACATAGTTTTTTAAGGAAGATCAAAGGTAAGCAAAAGCTGCCTGGCAGGCTGCCAGAACCCAGGTGATAGTTACTCATTTTTCAATCTGTTTGATTCTCTCTCTCTAGGAGGAGCTCCATGGGCAGTGACAAAAGCATTCTTGATAGCCCCCTCACAAATTTCCTTATGATCACTATCTGCTTCCTGCATGCCCTCATCAGTCATACCTCTAGTCACAGAGAAAGTTACATTACGACCATTGCAGGTACATTTCTGTATTCATTTGTTCAGTATCCATGTATGCACAGGTTTCCCAGGTGAGCCAGCATGTCTTACTGAGCTGCAAACTGCACCTCTCAACCCCAGCCAGATGTTTAACATGTGTGAGCCTGGTTAAGCTTAGAGGGAGATTATGTGCTGGATTGATCAGTACAAAAAGTTCCTGAGCCTGACAAGAAACAAAACTCAGAAGGAGCCGATCTGAAGGTTATGAATGTCATTTTAAAAATGAAGTATTTAGGGGCGCCTGGGTGGCTCAGATGGTTAGGCATCTGCCTTCAGCTCAGGTCATGATCCGAGGGTCCTGGGATTGAGCCCCGCATCGGGCTCCCTGCTCTGCGGGGGAGCCTGCTTCTTCCTCTCCCTCTCCTGTTCCCCCTGCTTGTGCTCTCTCCCTCTCTCTGTCAAATAAATAAAATCTTAAAAAAAATAAATTAAAAGAAGTATTTAATACTTGTATCACTGAGTCCTCAAAACTATTCCTGTCCT